CTAGACTAAAAATACTAATTCCATTGGCAAACTATCCCATTTACTTACTCAAGTTAATGGTAAGTACACTTAATTTAAGGCATTTTTTTCTCATTTTTAGATGGTTTTTTGCAGTGCAGATACTGGCCTTTGTAATAATAAGATAATTTAGAAATACAAGAATTTGAAAAATCTTATTTCAAGTGCAAGATATCTTAAAAAACTTAAATCTTATTTATCTGCACAGCTATGGAGCAAATACACTTTTAAGACGTTTTTACTGATTTTATCATTTTAAAGTAAAAAGAAAAAAAACAACCCTTCTTTGTTTTTGTTGTCTACAGCAGCCTCTGCTTCAGCTGCACATCTGTCTCTGTCTCAGCAGAAATGGCCAATATAGACACATAAAACCGTTTCCTAGGAACGGCTGTCAGTGAAAATAAAAAGCTTAAGTTTAAAGAAAGGCCTGCTGCAGTTCAGGGTAATTTAAACTAAATGAGATGCTCTGTTTTCTAGATTTGCAGCTCAGAAAGCCTGGTGGAGAGCTTCATTGGATTAATAGAAGACATGGACCCAGGTGCCATTTCTGAAACCATTTTAGCCGTTCTTCCACATCTTCAAACAGGTGTGTGAACGCATCACTGATTCACTTCTAACAACAAGAAAACACTTTAAGGTTTTTTTTCTAGCATGAAAGGTCCTGGTAAAATAAAGATGTCAAAGTGGATTCAGTTTGTGAAAGAAGGTTTGGTTTATCTCCATTAAAAACATGGTGTCTAGCGCCCCCTGCAGCACACACTGAAATAATGTTAAAGAAATTTCTGTTTAAATCCATTCTGCATAGCATCATTTAATAAATGGAAATCTTTTTTTTTTTTTTCAGTTCTCTTTCAGCTGGAGGAGAACCGAGCGGCCTGTTTGGGTTTGACTCTATCAGCCCTTCAGCAGCAGCTGTCCAGGCTGCCTGTTCCCTTCACCCTGCAGCAGGAGGAGGCTGATGAGCACGGCCTGTGCCACTGCTGCATCGCCCTGGCAATGTTTGCCAAGGCTTTTATAGACGACCTGAAGAGGAAGGAGGAAAACTGTCATCCCACTGCTGAAGAAGAAGCTATGAAGGCTGAAATCCTGAAGTTGTAGGTTTATGATTCACTCTCTTGTTGCTTAAAACACCACAATAGCAGCTTTAATGATGCATCTGGAAGAGTCTGATGTAAAGAGTTAGATTTTTCAGCTCTTTAAATCATTATTTATGGCGATGAACTTAGTATTTCAGTTTCAATAAAAAAAAAACATGCAATATTGCAAAAAGTATTTAAAATGTATACCTTAGTGATGATAGTACCAAAATAAGTTTTTGTTTTTTCAAACAGCTGCATGAGGAGCTTAAAGGAACCTTTACTTGAAGCTGAACTGAACCAAAATAAAAAATCTACTTTGTGGCTCTTTGCAGCAGAGATAATGGTAATAATAAAACTAGATCATATAAATCACACTTTTTTTAGGGGTTTCTCTTGTATATTTGTTCATGTTTTATAATTTGCATTTCAGGTCAGCCTACCTGCGATCAAAGAACCTATTCCAGGACTTCTGCTCTTCAGTTCTCTGAAAAAATTCCCCATGATTGATACCAGCCTGTCCAAGGAGTCACTGGCATGTCTGGCCTATCTGCTGTTTGTCCAGCTCATAACCATCGACATGTTTCCAGCTGTGTTCAGGTGAGACTCGGACCGTCATTGTGAAGGTTTTCCCACCTCTTAATAGAGTAAAAAAAAAAAAATTAACTCTTGCATTTGTTTCAGTCCTGTATTTATTCTTCAGTGCAACATGGATCACATCAACCAGCTCCTCAGCAGGTAGGCTATCAGTTAAATGAAAAGCTCATTATTAATTTTGAAAATGCAATAAAAAATGTTAATTAAATTTCTATTTTTGGCAGCAAAAAGGAATCCCATTTGCTGAAAGGACTGGTATGAACACCCATTATCCTAGATGGAAAAAATGACAGGAGACTCTATAGAAATGGAGGCAGAACACTTTAATTGTTTTTCATAATTTGTCTTAGGCATTGTTTTCCAAAAGTTTGGAGAAAGTGGAAGACGACAGCCTTCCTGTAGGTCTGCTAGACCTGAAAAGCTTCTATAATGCACCGCAGGTAAGACACAAGAAAGACCAACAACAGAAAACTGCTTTAAAAGAGATTGAAATAGTTTATGATCAATGCCTCTGATGTGGTTTTTCCTTAAGATGATATAATACAAAAAAAGTAATTTTTTGGTGGATTTTAATACGGATAAAAAGCTAAATTATAGAAAGCATTCATTATATTTCACCGTCTATTAAAGTTCCTTTTAAAAGTCCTTCAAAGAACGGCTTTAATATAGGTAAAACAAGTCGCTTAGTTTGTTTTTTTTCACGATTTGTTTTTGGTTTACAGCCCTTTAAACACAGATAAACATATTTAAAGGTATATAGTCATGTTTTATGTCTCTGCCAAAAAGGAAAAAATCCAGTTAATTCTGATCAAATAAGGCTATAAACTCTAATCCTCCCTCCTCATAGTGTTTTGATCGTCTATTTTGAGCCTAAATAGAACCTCAGCACCAGGTGCAGTGAGCTGAAATTAACACATGTGGCGCCATCTACTGGCAGTACTGCTGAACTGCTAGAAAGCCAGATGGTGACCATTGATGGAGCTACTAAATAAGTCCCGACTGAGCTATAATCCTGCCTGAAAACCAGCAGCTTGGAGGATAGGGGTTAAAAGCAGCGCTAACACCAGCAGCACTATCAACCAAGACATGTTCTCACATTTCTATCAACTTCGTTCACAGTGACATCAGCATCTTTGCCAGGGTCCGTTTCAATAAAGCAGGTTTAACACTCAGATTCAAATCTGAAACTCTGAATTGATCTAGCCTAAAGACGGGAACTCTGGGTTTTTGGTTCCAGAACAGCTGCTATGAATCCGTTCAAACAACTCTGAGTACGGTAGGTCCACTCAGAGTTTAGCAGCTGCATAACAAGTATGAAAAGACATTATCAGTGGAGCCCCGATTCATTTCAATTCAATTATACTTTTAATAATTTACCATGACAACAGGAAACAGGAAGAGCCAATTTCATCCCACTGGATCTAGAGATTTTAATGAAAAAATGAAATAAATTAATGTAGAGTGTTTTAATAGAGAAAAGGCGCTACAGCAGCAAAGAAGAGGAAGGTGGTGAAGGAGAAGAGTGTTTCTCTAATTAATGGAGACGTTTATATGAAGTGGTCTATGGCAGGCCATTTTCACATTTATTAAAAGCACTCTCGGTCCTTCCATTTGTAGATCACTAAAATAGGATTCTTCCTGATCTAAATCACTTTCCTAGTCGGAACTGAAATAATATAGTTTCTAAATAAAATTTTTGCAGCCGAAACTGAATATTAGAAGTTAAAAAAAATAAAACAAAAACTAATTCTAGTTGTAAGGATTAGGTTTTATATATCTAGAAACATTTACACATTTTAACCGGCAGTTTTGACATTTATCAGCTTGACTGATATGTATTTTATGATATCTGAAATACATTTTTTCATAGTCAATATACTGTAATACAAATGAGCAGTACAAAAGGAATATATATAATTAATTTCTAGACATCCAGAATGTTTATTCTAGATGTGGAGAATGTCATTTTGTTTGTAATGGTCATTTTGACAAGGAAAAAAGTTTTTCAGATATCAGAAATACATATTCAGTTATATTAATACGTTTCAAAACGGCTTGCCATAGACTGTTAACCACAATAACATTATGGGTCCAACTACACTCACCAGCCACTTTATTAGGTACACCTGTCCAACTGCTCGTTAACACTTAATTTCTAAGCAGCCAATCACTTGGCGGCAACTCAGTGCATTTAGGCATGTAGACATGGTCAAGACAATCTCCTGCAGTTCAAACCGAGCATCAGTATGGGGAAGAAAGGTGATTTGAGTGACTTTGAACGTGGCATGATTGTTGGTGCCAGAAGGGCTGGTCTGAGTATTTCAGAAACTGCTGATCTACTGGGATTTTCACGCACAACCATCTCTAGGGTTTACAGAGAATGGTCCGAAAAAGAAAAAACATCCAGTGAGCGGCAGTTCTGTGGGCGGAAATGCCTTGTTGATGCCAGAGGTCAGAGGAGAATGGCCAGACTGGTTGGAGCTGATAGAAGGGCAACAGTGACTCAAATAACCACCCGTTACAACCAAGGTGGGCAGAAGAGCATCTCTGAACGCACAGTACGTGGAACTTTGAGGCAGATGGGCTACAGCAGCAGAAGACCACACCGGGTGCCACTCCTTTCAGCTAAGAACAGGAAACTGAGGCTACAATTTGCACAAGCTCATGGAAATTGGACAATAGAAGATTGGAAAAACGTTGCCTGGTCTGATGAGTCTCGATTTCTGCTGCGACATTCGGATGGTAGGGTCAGAATTTGGCGTCTACAACATGAAAGCATGGATCCATCCTGCCTTGTATCAACGGTTCAGGCTGGTGGTGGTGGTGTCATGGTGTGGGGAATATTTTCTTGGCACTCTTTGGGCCCCTTGGTACCAATTGAGCATCGTTGCAACACCACAGCCTACCTGAGTATTGTTGCTGACCATGTCCATCCCTTTATGACCACAATGTACCCAACTTCTGATGGCTACTTTCAGCAGGATAATGCGCCATGTCATAAAGCTGGAATCATCTCAGACTGGTTTCTTGAACATGACAATGAGTTCACTGTACTCAAATGGCCTCCACAGTCACCAGATCTCAATCCAATAGAGCATCTTTGGGATGTGGTGGAACGGGAGATTCGCATCATGGATGTGCAGCCGACAAATCTGCGGCAACTGTGTGATGCCATCATGTCAATATGGACCAAACTCCCTGAGGAATGCTTCCAGCACCTTGTTGAATCTATGCCACCAAGAATTGAGGCAGTTCAGAAGGAAAAAGGGGGTCCAACCCGTTACTAGCATGGGGTACCTAATAAAGTGGCTGGTGAGTGTAGTTTACTGCTATATTGGTAGTAAATCAATGTAATCTATTTAGGTGTAATCACCTGGAATCAGTTTTTCCTTGCTAAAAAACAAGTTTTCTTCTTCAGGACTTGGTTCTGATGCTGTAATTGATACAATCATCAACATTTACATCAGGAAAAAAATGAAGAGATCATTTTAAAAATGCCTTTTGTATTTAAACCTGTAATCTCTGTTTGATGTTAGCATAGCTTAGATCAGTGGTTGAGCTCAGGATCTGCTGGGAGTTTTATAGATAATTATTATCAGTCATTATAATGTGATCCCTGAGGTGCATGAAGGGACAAAATGTATCATAAAATAAATAAATGTACCATATAATTTAGTTATAGTAAGTTATAAAATACATAATTGATTAGATAAAAGTATAATTAAATGATAAATAATACATTTAGAATGAATAAGTAATTAAATGTCTGTTAGAAAAATAAACGTATTTAAAAATTATTTACTTCACTGTAAAGAGAAAAAAATAATTATCTGTATTTTTAGGAGGGGGGGGGACTTTTATTTTTGGACTGATAAGTTTGGGAAACCCTGGATTAGATCAGCTGAAACATTTTAACAGGACAGAAAAGACTAAAATACTTTTTAAAGGACCGTTTCTTCACTTTTCTGGTGTTTGTCTCGTTTAAATTAGGGAAAAATATTTAAGGAAACAAAAAAATGTTTTCAGTGATCTAAATAATCTGTTCTGAAATGTGTAGAACCTGCGACGAGTTCTCACTGACTGCCCCTTTCAACATCTGGTAAGTAGTTCATGACGTGATAAATGAAAATCTGATCTGAGATCGTGTGAAAATAATTTAGTAATTTTATTTTTGTTTCTTCAGAGAGAATCAGGACTGAAAATATTCCAGCTTTTCATAAACAAACTCGACGTTGAAGCAAAGCATAAATTCTTCAGGTCAGAATTTAGGCGATTATTAAACCTAGATGAGAATTTAGCTTTTGTTTACCAATAAATGCATATTTCAGATATTTACCAACAGACCTGGTTTTTAAACCTGTTTGTTTTTATATTTGATGCTTAATCTGAATAAACACCATTGATCATCGCTCCCCTCCTTTGCAGGTGCATGTTAAAGACAAGCCACCATGCAGGCGTTGAAGGCTACATAGTGAAAAACATCAGGAATCAGGTCCATCTGTCTATAAAGGTGAGAATAAAGAACCTTTTTGGCATCTTAACAAAGCTGTTGTATTTTTATGAAAGAGAAAAACTCAGAAAACACACCTACATTATCTTCAATTGATCATCTAAACATACAATTAAAGGACCATTTCTGATCAAAGTTGAGATAAAGAGTCTCTTTTAGCAGCTGATCTGCACAGTGACCGCAGCCGTTCATTTCTCTAGCTAATTTCTAAGTCATGGAAATGTGGGTTCAGGTCTGCAGGCAGGTGGATTCACTCCAGGACCTTTATGGAGCCACTTTGGGGTCTTTGTTCTGCTGAAGTCTCAGCCAAGTTCCATCTGAAATGCTCTCACTAATGCAACCAGGTTTGGGATTAAAATCTCACCATCAGTGTCCCTGTTCATTTTCCCCTTAACACGGATCTGTCATTCAGCCCCAAAACATGATGCTTCCACCCCTGTGCTTCACAGTAGCAATAATTCAATTAAATTCAATTTATTTATATAGCACCAATTCACAAAACGTCATCTCAAGGCACTTTACAGTTCACCAGATAATACAGTTTTCTATCTAAGGATTGCTTGAAACAACAGTGGAGAGGAAAAACTCCCTTTTAACAGGAAGAAACCTCCAGCAGAACCAGGCTCAGTGTGAGCGGCCATCTGCTGAGGCCGACTGGGGTTCAAGGAGACAGAAGCAGAGATACAAAAAGTTAACTGTAAAAGGCGGCCCCGTCCAGGAAACACACAGCCAGGCAGACAAGCTCCGAGCCAGCTCCCATGTCAGAGGATGAAGAGAGCACATCCAGGTAGTCACAGTCAGAGAAACAGGACTACACTGGAAAACAAGCCGATCTCCAACATCTAGAAACAAAGGTGTTGATGGCAGCAGCACAGCTGATATTTCTTTCCAGGATGACGTCACACCCAAACAGGAACAGACCAGATGAAGCTACTATGAGAAAAAGCAGAGAGAGCAGAACGTTAGAGATTGAACTAACAGATTCTAGAGAGAATGAAGCAGAATGATGAAATAGGGGTCCCTGTGTCCTCCAGGTAGTGTTCAGCGTTCTTTTTCCTCCAAATATGAGTTAAAATTGTGCTAAAAAGTTCTATTTTGGTTTCATCTGACCACCTGATGTTCGGCCAATGCTGTTAGAGATCATCCATATGCTTCAGGCAGACGTGGACATGTTCGGTCCAAAGCAGGGGGACACGGCTGGTCCTGCAGGATGCGAATCCCTCTGGGTATATTGATGGCAGGCTTTGTTTCTTTGGTCCCGGCTCTCTGCAGCTCATTCATCACGTTCCTCCATCATGATCAGCAGGATCACTGCATCACTTTGGGAAATATTTTCTTCTAAATAGTCCCTCTGAAGTATTTTGGCTGATAAATCTGGATTGGTGACACATCGTATCCAGGCTGAGTACATCTGGATTATTAATCTGCTCCTGAGAAGATTCTCAATAAAGGTTGGAAAATCTGCCAGTGCAGGAAGAAAACTGAAATTCTGAAATAATTTCTCAAATCTCCTGTCCTCCTTCACTGGCAGATTAATTCAATGATTTTAAGTAGAATCTTTTCAGATGAAGATTAATAATCTAGCTGAGTATATCAATCTCAGAGGTCAGATTAAGCAACAATCCAGATCTTTTATGGAATCAAATCAGTTCCCTCCTTTGAAGACGACTTTTCTGCAGAAGCAGAAATGTTTGCAGCATATTGGAGAAAGAAATCCCTCATTATAAATAAAACTGATTTTTCCTGCAGAGGTCAGTTAGTTTATAATCCTAAATACATTCAATAAAAGAAAAATGATCCTTGGGGTTCACTGGTTCTTTTTTGCTAATTTTTAACCCAGTTAAAGGTTTAATCTGCCCAACCTCTCTGTGTCTGATGTTAGCTTTGAGCTAATAGCTCTGTATGTGTTACTCCTCTGCAGGCTGACGCCAACAGGTGGTTCCTGGGAGCAGAGCTGCTCCCGCTGCTTGATCTGGTGCTCAGTTTACCACAGGGAGCAGAGACGGATCTGCTCGCCAACATGGACAGGTGAGTGATACGCTCCGTTTTCTTTTCGCTGCTCAACCCCAAACACATCCGATAATCACCATCAGAAGAGGAGATCAGACTCAAACAGCAAAGTCTGTTTATGCACCAATAACTTTTATTTTCGCAAACTGACAACCAACGTTTAAATAGTTTTGAAATTTTTAGCGGTTTTTATTTTTATTTAGTTTTGAATCCTGATTTTTAATTCTAATTTAGTTAAAATAAATTTTTAGTATTTGTTAACTGGTTTATTTTAGGTTTTATTTTTTGAAAATGCTTAGTTTCACTATAGTACAGTTTTAGTCTTTCATTTTATATGAATAAAATAAATAAATAAATAATAGAAACAAAATTCCAGATTAAGACAGACTGCTGCAGCAACAAACAGATAACCTGACTGCTGTGCTGCCATCTGCTGGCGAAATGCGGTACAGTGAAGAACCAGAAATCAAACCTCATATTAATAAGGTTAAATAATAATTGGATTGTATTAATCTCACACAGGAGAATTTTACCTCTGCATTTAACCCGTCCCCTTGGGGAGCAGAGGGCTTCCATTGTGTGGCGCCTGAGAAGCAGTGTGGGGTTAACCTCTTACACCCTCAGGGGGTATAAATAAATTTCTGCCTGACAAAAACACACAAAAGTAAATCAC